TGTGTACCCCAGGGAGCTGGGAAGGTGCCGGGCCCTTCCCTCCCCCAGCGTGTGTATCCCGGTGTGAGCTGAAGGTGCCGTCCTTCCTCCCCAGCCGCAGTGTGTACCCCAGGGAGCTGAAGGTGCCGTCCTTCCTCCCCAGCGGCAGTGTATATCCCAGGGAGCAGAAGGTGCAGTCCTTCCTCCCCAGCGGCAGTGTGTACCCCTGGGAGCTGAAGATGTTGTCCTTCCTCCCCAGCGGCTGTGTGTACCCCAGGGAGCTGAAGGTGCTGTCCTTCCTCCCCAGCGGCAGTGTATATCCCAGGGAGCTGAAGGTGCTGTCCTTCCTCCCCAGCGGCAGTGTATATCCCAGGGAGTAGAAGGTGTAGTCCTTCCTCCCCAGCGGCAGTGTGTACCCCAGGGAGCTGAAGGTGTTGTCCCTCCTCCCCAGCGGCAGTGTGTATCCCAGGGAGCTGAAGGTGTTGTCCTTCCTCCCCAGCGGCTGTGTGTACCCCAGGGAGCTGAAGGTGTTGTCCTTCCTCCCCAGCGGCTGTGTGTACCCCAGGGAGCTGAAGGTGCCGTCCTTCCTCCCCAGCGGCAGAGTGTCCTGCAGGGAGCAGAGACCGTCAGTCTCGCACCCCAACCACAGGACAAAATAATGAAAGGGGAGACAGCTGCTCCCCCTCTCCACCAGCAGAGAGAGTGTCAGGGAGAGGAGCCTGATACCCGTTCTCCCCAGCGGCAGTTTACAGTTCAGAGAGAGGAGCTTGTTACACCCTCTCTCCAGCGGCAGCCTAACCCAGCAAGGGGAGATGTTACACCCCCCAACAGTGCAGATGGGACTGTAGTCTCTGCACTTACAGCACAAGGGGTAGGGACAGTCGGTCCTGTTTCCCAGCCACAGAGCGGTGTATCCAGAGGGGAGACAGTCGGTCTCTCCCTCCCACAACCAGGCTCCCACCAGGCTACTTCCGTGGTAGCACTGGCATCAGGGCAGAGTACCGCTGGTCTCTGCCCACTCAGCAACCCACCAAGGCAGCCTAACAGTTGCCCACACAGTCGTGGTGAGGCACCTGGACATGGACAAAGTTCTCCTCTACCCAGGTGTAGTAACCAGTTATTGTGGGTGGGCTGTACTGCTGTTTCTGTTTTGTGGGTGGGTTGCTGGACTAACCAGGGCACTGACCGGCAGGAGGTCAGATACCCTGTTAGTCTAGTTGGTAAAGGGGAGAAGTGTGGCGAAACCAACCTCGCCACTGTGAACTGGAGAAGCCTGGTTGCTCGCCTGCTCCCTTTGGACTATGGCCCTGCAGGTTAAACCGTTTATTTCCCCTGCAGAAAGGCTTATTTGTGTGATCTGAGTGCCATTCATCTAATAATGTGCACTCAGATCCCAGCTATCTGGGGATATGTGAAATGTCTGTGTGTTATGTGTAAATGTGACTTTATGTATTTTAAAGTGTTTTGTGTCTTTTTGCAACCATGTGCTTAATGGAGTCTTGTGTCTATCCTGGGAGATAATTGAATTACTTATCTCCAGGATAGAAGACTCTGAAACTGGTTTGGGCCAGAAAGCCATGCTTCATTTAGTCACAAAGGACTTTTTACTAACTTTTGAACCCCTTGTCTGATTTGTGCCATTTTTGAATATGTTGTTCCCCTGAATGGATTGATTGTGAATATGTAATTTTATGTGAATGTGATGTATGGTTTTGGAGTTATGAAAGTTGGGTAGAAAGTATGTTTTAACTGTATGTATAATTGAGTTTCCTCTCAGGATAAGGGGAGGGAATATGTGGGATGTAACTGTGATGTGATTGGTTGTTTTGTAACGCCCTGTGGGCTGTACTATGTTTGTGGATTGGGAATAAAAGAGACTGTATGTGACAGTACAGAGAGTTCCTGTTTTAACCCTCAAAGTGAAGTGTCGTCTCATTATTGGGGGAAGGATTTATTGTATGCTGTTCCAGTTTGACTGCTAGGAGAGTAAACCTATTCGTATGGTTCCTATTCAACTGTCTACAGCATTCACATGCTTGAGAGCATTCATATGCTCCTACGGTTCGGTGGTTTTGGTGTCTGCTGCAGTGCTTGGAGTCCTCAGGAAGTGCTAGGAGCATCCTTCAACGGAGGTACCCAGTCGGGGTGCCAGGCGATCCGTTACAGCTCGGTTTACAAATTTGTTTCGCAATACAAAGCAAGTTTCCCCAGGATGCATCGCAGATGCAGGTTTATAGCGCCGGCCCTGCATGCCGGAATCTATGGGTAGCAAGTGGCGTCGAGTGTGGAGGTGTTGCAGCTGATTTTGCATCGAGTTTCGGAGCCATTCTAGAAATTGTTTGCAGTTGTTTTGGGACTTTTTGGTGCATTTCTCAAGCTGTGGAAAGGTAGGGAGCTAAGCTTCATCGTTTGCATGCCTTTTACTGTGTGTTCTGCATTGTGGGTTGGTTTCTATGAAAGCTCATTTTGACTTTTTTCTGACCTCCAGAATGGATTAATTGTTTTTCAATGCATTCTTATGGGAAACCGCGTTTCGGTTTACAAATGTTTCGCAATAAGAAACGTCCCAGAGAACGCATTAAATTCATAAACCGAGGTCCCACTGTACTCTCAACCTGATGGATTTTAAAATTGGCACACAGCATCTCACACTGGAGTCCAGATTGACAAGCCTTGTTTTATATCTGATTTTTCCCATTGTTTATAAACTCATCACTTGGAGTCTACATCCCATTTTAAGCATTCTCTGGAGGTGACGTCTAGCAAACGATTGTCTGCTTGTTGCATTTGGGGGGAAACTGCGCCACCCCCCCCCCCCAAATATCTACTCAAGGATTGTTAATCCTTGACCCATGGTTATCCCCTACTAGAAAAATTGGTAATCCAGTAATGTCTATTCATTGCACATTCTAGAAATATAGAGAGAATTTTGAATGTATTGTTCTAGGTACATAATCCTACCTGGTTGGTGTATACAATATCCATATAATAGGATGCCAGAAAAATGTGTGGAATATACAATCTTTGCAACCATTTCAGGAACTGCCTCTGGTAGGTGGATTGACATACACTAGGAACAACAGAGAGCCATTAACCTTTGTAAAATGCAAGCACCAATGACATTTAGGGGTTTTGGGGCACTACCCCTGTAGACCTCTGTTGGTAAACCTACCACTAAAGACCCAAATCCCACGCACCGCATTGAAGGGCTATCTGTGATTGTGTTGTGCAAAGTTGTACATGACTTTTTGGATTTTGTTCCATTGATGCCATGCGCTTGCAAACATGGAAGATTTTGGTCAGGTAATAAGTTACCTAACATTATTAGAGTGTTGGTTGTGCCTCTGTGTACGCAGCTCTGTTCATGGATTCTGTTTATATTGAACACTTTATTTGCAAACTGGTTAATCCCTTTTAAGGTCAGCAAAGGTTGCTCAGAGGAGGGATCGCTGGTACCAACCCCGACTGATACAATATATCGCAATACAGTCACTGTTGATTTCCAATAGGAGGCTTAAGACTCACTCTGAAATAATTTACATACCATTTTAACAACAATGGAGCCATGGTCTGTACTGACATATACCTCATCAAGTGTCCCACTAAGTGAGTCTCTATAAGCATTGTATTACACAGCAACGGGTTTTGATGTTATTACATGATGCACACAGCAAAGAGACTACCTGCTCTTTTACTAAACTAGGTACACCTGCTGAAAGAGGTTTATATTTCTGCATCAAACTGTATAGAAATGAATGCAGTTAACCTTCATACAGTATTATTTCACTGTATATACAAGACGTGGATTCACAGAGGCTGATTACCTACTTAGAGCACCACTTTGAGTGAAGGGCTAGTCCAGCTCACAATAGGCATGCTTTAGGAATAGCTCTTTCTACAAATTCTCCTAATTCTGTCCATACTGATTCCCCCCCCAGGCTTTGTCTACTTCTAAACATTCCTGTGGTTTGTTTATGCTGAGGGATGACTGTAGTTTTTTTTATGGGCATCCACAAAGTAAAAATGGCCATTTAAACAGGGCATTTGGTCTATGTACCTATGGTGATGGAGTGGGTCTCAGCTTGGCATCAAGTAAACAGCCAGTGCAAGCAAGGACTGCAAGGCAGAAATAAAATAAGATCAGCATTGTATTACAATAGATCAATATACAGATTATTAAATTGATTCGAAGAGGTCTGCTAAGAAATCATCCTGTTCTTAATTCTAGCACTTGTTGGTTTTTAATTATAATAAGTGAAAAAAAATAACCTAATCGAAGATAAACAGAAGTAGCTGCCGCATTGAGATGAAAGGGGAGAGGTTCGAAATACCGGCCGAGCCAGTAAAACCAAGCCCAGTCTGTGACAATTCAATACACAGTATACACACTGAGATGATCTATACTGCACTGCCTGCTCTAACAAAGCACAGATGTGTGAGCTCTTTATCAGCTCGACAATATTCAAGTCTTGTCTGCTCTAAATCACACTGAAACATGGAATGAATCATCTGAAGTGCTGGTACTTACACTAGCAAAGAGCTATGACGAGCATTGTAATGCAATCCCCGTATCCCCGGGCTCTGCCAGTATGTTACATTAAATTCTAAATAGTGTGATTAAAAAAAAACTATGGAAATCCTATGGTCCATAAGAACAGTGCCACAGCCCTTTTCATCTACACAGATTATACTTCTGCAAACTACTTCTCAAAAAAATAAAGGAAGGTTCAGTGGGGTATTATTTTGTAAACTTTTTTTTTGTAAATAAGTGTTATTTAACATGTCGTTGTCCGGTCTTGGTACTATACTTTAGGAGGCCGAATCTTTTGCCTGTTCCAGCTTCATGGAGAACTCGAGCTCTTGCTGTCTACCTATGTGGAGATGTAGGACATGCTGTGGATTATAATTTCAGAAAGGCCATTAATATAAATTATCAGCCTGAGCACCATAACCACTACAGCATATTGTAGTTAGGGTGCAAAGAGTCCTCAGATGTCCCCTGCCACCTTTTGATAGCGTCAATCCATTTGTGAGCGGTTTGAGAATAGCTGTGGCTTGTAGCATGTCTAGTCTGTTTTACCACATGTGGTAGAATGAAATAGCAGCATGCAACATTTGGTAGACAGCAATATGGCTAACAGAAGCACACATAAATCAAGGTGTATAATATGGGTTTCTCCTTACTACCAACATAGATTAATCTATCTATACAGTAAACAAAAGGAATACATAATAAGAAACTGTTACACAATAAAAAGGCGTAACTTTTTTACCATATGGATTGCTCAAACCATATTTATTATTCGTTATTTTTTCATGGTGATCTTACCAACTCTTAAAATGGGCCTTGTACTTTTGCATGTGTTATTTTGTAACTGCTATTTATCGTACTTGTCTCCCGTAACAGAGATACAACACGTGTGACTATACTATCTCAGCAGCAGAATGGTTCAGTAATGTCTGCTTCTCACTGTCGGGGTGCACAATGATGTGGTACTGGGGTACATTCTGAGAATAAGGTGTGCTGGGAAGAAAGGTTTGAACAGTGCTTTCTTCTCTTGTTTTGGTGAAATCTAAGAGACCTTTAGAGTGGATAACTCCATGGTCATCTCCATTTTAAGGGTACATATATACATATATTGGCAGGGGAAGCCCAAATAAGAAAAACCCTCATGGGTTGAATTTGGAGGCAGATTCTAATCACAAATGTTATAGCAACATCAGCATCTAGTCATGTTGGCATCCAGCGCTAATAAGACCATCATATGTCGAACAGCTCCGACATGTCAAATCCATTCTTAGTTTGCAGTACAGCTAGTGCAACGTATACCTAAAGGGACAATTATAGTCCGCTTTAAATGCACAACGCTCCTTTTAGTAAGTAAAAAAACTCCGTCATTTACATTTAAATCTTGTGATCTGTGCTGTTGATCAAGACTCACCTCTTCTGTTTTTGAATTTAGTTTTTGTCTCTGTCTGTCCTGCTGTGCGTGCTTACTTACTACATACAAGTACAACCATCACACACGTGCTATGTTCTTCATGCACATATTCAATCATATATTATATGATTGCTTGGATTTTATGGGCATAAAAGTACAGCTAGCGTCTACAAATACATATATAAGGAGTAATGGTCGAAGAGTCAGTGAGTTCACGGGAAAGTCCATAAAATGGTATTGAAAAGGGCTCGTTGGGAAATACACAGCACATATTATACTACTATATGATTCTTGTAGGTATGGATTAGCAGGAGGTAAGAAGGAGAAAGTTTGGCAAAGGATAATATTCTTTTCGTTTTCAATATGAAAATAAATCTGAAATAAAAAAATAAAAAAAACACACAAAAAAACAACCACATGGTAAATGATTGCAGGCATATCGACAATGCATTATTCATGGTTTTAGCCAGGAGTCTCACAACAGATTTTCAGCATATTTAGCCAATTGTGTTGTTCTGCATAAATTGAATTCTTTCATTACAAGATAATCAGAGCTCTTGGCTCAATGGCCAATACTTACAACCGAGGTATTGAACACCCATTGTACAAATATGCAAATATCTCCTAAACGTAGTAAGTTGTAATAATTTGAAGATAAGGAAAAACGTATTTATTTACAGTGTCACGCATTAAGCTTGCCTCATTTGGAAACAATCTTTTTGTATTTATATAATTAAGTCGAGTTCAATCAAGCATGTAATTAGTTCGATAAAGATTTCCCCCCCTCAGAAATGCAGCAGGTCGTGAAAAATAAAAAATCAAAAAAAATCTACTTAAAACATAAATGAAATAAAATCCAGAAGATATACAGAAATTACAGACAATTTACTTTTCTGATGAGATTACAAGACATAACGTCTCCCTTTGTGGTGAGTGCATACGAGAACTAGCTATATTCATATTGTGCTTTTCAGAAAGAGAAAATCCAAATATATACATAAGAAACTACTGTACAGAATCTGAGATCTGCAAATATATTTATGGAAATGTCATTTTTTTTTACTGAATTATCGCATTTACAAAATAAGAACAGGCTTTAAATAAATAAGGTACAATCCATTAAATAATATTCATTCTGTATCACAGGAGGAGTTGTCTGGTGCATATTTATCCCCTTTTTAAGTATACGGTATTTTATTTAATCATACAAAACAAACTTTATGTGTCCTAAAATAAAAATAGCTATTGCACGGTGAAGCCTGAGATTTAAGCTTGGATATGATTTATTAGGAAGTACCAGGTTTACAGTACTGCATATCTTTAGCGGAGAGGAAGCTAACAAACTGCTTTTTGCACTGCATAACCATCACCATCACTTCTCTAAACTGCAGGACTATAGGGGAATGACATGTACCAACTGCATGACTATAGCTGAATGACATGTACCACACTGCTCTGCATAACCATTACCAACAGGCAGGTATCATATTGCTCTGTGCACTACTTAAAGGGACGCTATAATAACCAAAACTATGTTTACATAATGAAGCAGTTTTGGTGTATAGGTCATGCCCCTGTTGTCTCACTGCTCAAGTCTCTGCCATTTAGGACTTAAATCAGTTTATGCAGCCCTAGTCACACCTCCCTGCATGTGATTTGCACAGGCTTCCTAAACACTTCCTGTAAAGTGAGATCTAATGTTTACACTTCCTTTATTGCATACTATGATTAATTTGGAATTTCACTCCTATGTGGCAGCGATCTGAGCAGTGGCATGATCTGTACACCCAGACGACATTATTACATTTGATTTGATGCTCATAGAATCACCTTAACTATAATAATATTGGCAGGTAGCACACTGCTCTGTGCACTGCTAAACTATAACAAGATTTCCTCACCTTAAACATTAATATGGACTATTACAATCTATTTTTTCTGATTATTATTTCGGTTATATTAGCAGCAATCAATTTATAAAGTAAGACTTAACATATTTTGTTGATGCTTGTTTCTGTATGGAACATGAGTTCTCTCCCTTATTTTTGCAGTGTTGGTAATATCTGGGAACTCACTATGTAGACCTGTAATTCTCAAGGACATACATGAAGACTCTGCACATATGTTGCAAAGATTTGACAATGCTAGATTCTAACAGTTTTTTTTTCTTAGTAGAATATCATAGATTCAATGTTTGACATGGTCAAAGACATCTTTACATTTTGACTAACTAGCGTTTTTATGAGATCTGAAATTAGAACCATTTGATTATCACATTGTTGAGTTTGTATGCATAATTTAAGTCATTGAATATCTTAGGGTTAACCCAATTACAAGGTTTCCAAGTGCAAATGTTAGGAACTGAACATCTACTGTGTCTGGACAGCTAACCCCTCTTGTTAATATTATATGTTAATAATAAACTTTAGTGAATGTCCCATTTGAATCTAATTGCAAAATTTGACTGGCACATATTGCGTTAATGTAAGGTCCAAGAACCTCAATGGTGATCATTTAATCTATTGCAGCATCTTACGAAAAATTACCAGTAAGAACCTCTTCACTGTACATCAACATTAAAAAGCCCAAACTGACATACGAGTCGAACATCAAGTAGACATTGATGGCCTTATGACAACCTACAACTTGTCACACATTTTTTCAGTCTTCTGAGAACTTGTGTATCATAAGTACACTATTTTGTGGTCCAAATGTGTAGCAGAGAGTTCCTTAGCAAAAAGAATATGAAACTAACCTATTAGTCAACAAGACATAGAAATGAATATTACAAAAAACAGAAACAAGTTAAAATGGCATGTAAACAATAAAATAAATCAAATATGGACCATGGCAAGATAACAACCAGTCATTGACAATACCACCCATGGCATCCTTGCACTTTCACATAAAGTTGTACATCATTTTACTGACAACCCTCAGTAGTACAAAACTGTTTATTGTACATATATCTATCTATATAATCTTTAGATCTTAACCAAGATAATATTACATATTTCCAGTGTTTATATGTAGCAAGCCACATTCACCGATGACTTGCCCAAATCACGCACAATTTGAGACTAAATGCAAAAAGAATCAACTGTAGTAATAAAAAAAATAAAAAAAAAGATAAATTAGTAAACATTGGCTATATAATCACATTCCAGTGTTTTACCTACTTCACATTGAGAGTATAGTTATCTTATATTTCGGCTTGAGTTTTAATCCACAGGCCAAGTAAAAATTGAGAAAACAAACATTAGTAATGAAGGGATGTGGAGGGAATGATTGCTGCCAAGCAGGTTGGCTAGATACAGTCACTGCAATACCAGATGACCTCTCCCTATAGGCCTGAAGGTAACCACGGTCTTGTCCAGCTATATGAACCGTACAAATTACAAGGCCCATAATACACAGTGTTTATATATGTGTATAGTATATATCATTTACAAAATCCTCCATCTATATATATATTTTGTTAGAGAGAAGCAGTGGTGTCTGTATGCTGATCCTACCCACCTAAGCCTATGCACCAAACTCATATCCCACCCCCAGAGTGCCCAAAAAAGTAACTTTATCTAAATAAGACATTAGTGCCAACGAGGCCATCCAGGCGTGACATATCCACTCAATACCCACATTACACATTCTCCGGGTAGGTGATCAGAAAACTGGGAGAGCGGTCAGAGTTTTTAAAGAAACGGACTAAATATTCAAAACAAGTGAAAAACAAAACATTCGGACATACTTTGCCATATTTAGGAAGCATTGTGACTTCTCACAGTAACTCTGTTTCTTCACTGACTGAGTCTACTAATGCCTACTTGAACCAGTTACTGCTTAACCGGTTTCATAAAATTCCAGTGTAAGAATTTCAATCAAATATACTGATACCTTAGTCCATCAGGTAAAATGGTACAGGCAGAAACAAAATCAGACTATATTGTCACATTACGATTGAGGCATTCTTCTAAAATTAAAATGTGCGTCACACATTGTGACAGTTTAAAGTATAATCTGTATATATGCTCTATTTGTACACTCATGTATACTTTTTTCATATTCTCCAGATCAAGACTATAAAGGTGTATTTTATTCTTATTCAAAGGCATAATGTACTGTTCTTTAAACATACAATACCTCCAATGTGGATACAATTTTTTACGAAAACTTCAGTAATTATTTTACGAAAAGCCAACTTTTAAATTATTATTAATTTTTAACTATTTGTGGCTGAAACAATATTGATGTCTGTGTGTTATGGCATGCTCCCTCGCTGGCACTTAGTGAAGGCATTTCTTATAATTAGACTGATGTTTCAGTTGTTGTGAATCCCCTTTAAGAGGTCTGCCATATACCTATGTATGTAAATAAGATGAGATCCAGGGTGAAGCAAAGACAATATGTCACCAGAATATAATTTCTGCGATGGTCTGTCTGGCAGTACATCACAGGAGCTTTAAACCAGGAGTGTCACGTCACCCAGACATTACTTAGATGGTTATATAGAAGTGATTTTGGAATGCTGGGTGTTGGAAGAATATGAAGATGTACAACAAATGAAGGGAGACTGTGAGGGCGTAAGAAATATCTCCATTTATCCAGTGTTCTCCGCACCAAATTATTGCTGTGATTAAAATTAAATAAAAAAATAAAATTATATCAAAATGCTATACCAAATTTAACTGCAGAACCGTCTCTCCATGTATTCAAACACTGCTCTGTAACATACAAACAATACATATCTAGATGTTAGACCGCAACTCCTATAATTCTCTGCCAGAGTTTTAAGGGGACTTATGGTCTCAATATCTTAAATCCATCAACAGCTGGGGCGGCAATTAGACCTGGGAACTACTTTTACTTGATCCAACACAAGGATGTCTAATTTGTTTCTACCCAAAAGGAGACAAGCGATCCGGATCTTACAGGAATAAAAATGCAACATTTACGTGTTTTAGCACAGTCCGTATGTGACGAGATGAGATGTCTCAGCTTGCTGCTGTGAGAGACGAACAATCATTCATTACGTCGCTCATGTTTAAGGTAAGCAGTGATGGAGTGAATGTATTCTCGTAGCCCTATTCCTCTCTGTGAAGTAGTTTGCATCTGTTTAATGGCATTTGTTATATTGGAGCTGGGTCTTTTGGAAGACTGTACTGAAGCAGAGGCCTGCAGACATTTTATTCTTTATAGCAGCTTAGGAAAACACAATCAAAACTCTCTGTACAAACATTAATGTTTAAATTAAAGCCCACATGCTTCCTGCACTGTGCCGAAAAAAAATCTTTTTCTTTTCCAGGATAATTCGTGGTTTAGGTTGAATGTCACAAGAGAGTCCACC